TATATTCTGAGGGTTCAATTGGCTGGTCATGGTATTGTAAAGGCAACGTGGTTATAAAAAGATGGTTACCAATCTATCTTGAGCACGTGTATTCTCAAAATGTGTAACATAGGTATATCAAAGCAAAAGTATGAAAAAAGGCTTGGATATCTTAAAGTTGGGCATATATTTCAGGATCTTATGAACTTTTCAAAATTAATCTTATTTTTCAAAGCTTGTCACATTTTCGATGAATGTTTTGAAATTCTAAAAAAATTAAATAGTAGGAAGGCTCGTGCCTTAAATTTTCTACTCGTGTAGTAAAGAGTACTAACGCGAATTGCGTACACTACCTTTACCTACGACCATTTTTTAATTACTAACAATCTGTTTTTTTATTACTAACAATCACTACCTACTCATGACTTCTTAGAGGGGTTATGTTTTCGTTTATTGTCATTGCCACTGAAAGTGATGCAACGACTTATTGTATAATCAGCTGACTTCATGTAACTACGTGTTTGTATAAATCTTCGTTAAATAATGCGTTAATCTTTTTAGGGAATAGGTTCTGCTAGCAGCATTATTACCATAAATATCAGGTACAATTTTGGGAAATATTGCATATTTTTGCAACAACTGAATAATATAGTGAAACAGTTAATTTACAGTTAGATTTCAGCATCGAATATGTGGTCCACAACGAGTTGGTTGGAACAGTGGTTAAGAGGTTTTCAAAATAAACCAGAAGCACGTTTTCATTTATTAAATTAACCTTATTTTGTTTCGTCCATTTAATGAATTGCTGTATGTAATTTCATACATTTGTTTCGATTTTGGTGGCAAAAGATTAGCACAAACAGTTTGTGCTCTCATTTCCATCTCGTCAAATTCATTTTCACTAACTGACATTTTTAAATAAGTTCAATCTACATTCCTTTAACTTCCACCAACTTAGGTTAAGAATACGCGAGTATCAACAGGAACAAGTCGGATCAACAATTAAAATTGTCAACTGATCAGCTGATTAGTTGACGTTCGAAACATTAGAAATTTACTTCTTTTCTCTAAATCCTTCAGATTTCTGCGCAACAAGAGAACTGCTTAAGGTAAATAAGGCGGTTAAAACTTCACTGGTGTTCGGTTAGTTTACTTACGAACTCTTGAGTCAACTTCAAACAACATTGAAAATATGTCATTATAATAAAAACAGATTAGTGGTTAAAATAAATCCGTTTGTTGCAAACTTATTGTTAATTATATTTTAGCTTTATATTAGGCCTACTTTAGGGCTAATAAATTTAAAAATATATAATGTTTTGATTACAATCTGTCTGTGTTCATGTTAAATATTGTTAAACCCAAAAGTTATATAAATATTCAAATACGGGCTTTATGCATTCCAAAAAGTGATAATACGTGATGCTGTTGAATCTGGTAAACAAATTTAAAATCAAGCATAAGCTTAGTTCATGGCCAATGCAAGTATTTTTCTCGCGTAATTGTTATGAATAATGGTCACACATGGGTCAGTTAAAAGAAAACATATTCAGTACATCGATCTCTATTATTACTAGATCGATGATTCAGTATGACTGATAAATGGATTCTTCTACGAACAGCAGTATTATAGATTGAGTTGTATTCCTAGCCTTATATAAGATTACCTCTACGACTTTTAGGACATCAGGTTTTCTCATTCAAAAACACCTTTTGAAACTAAGTACAGTATCAATTGACCTCAATCCAACAACAGAAAATGTTAAAATTGGTTAAAAACGTAGGCAATTCCAGGAATCCCCTTAACTCAATTAAGGGTATAAGGGGATATACACACTTGATTATTTGTTTGTTATTTTTTCAGGCTAGCATTGTTAGGGCCAGGTTTTATATTCACCTCAATTATTTTCCTAAATCACAATTTATTTGCTCATAATTTTTTCTAAAAAAAGGACAACAAAACTATAAGTAAACACATCATTTTCCGGACTGACAATCGTTTAGACCTTCAATCAAACACTGGTTACAATGTGATAACAGTCAACAATGCTGCAATTGTCCTAAAAACCATTGGACCGTTTAATACAGCTGGTCATGTGAATTGCATCCGATTTCACACCTTTACAACAATGGTTTGAACGGTTTCCGGAAGTGGTTGATTGCCTGACAGTTTAGTTAACTGGGGCTTGTCAATAAAAGTAGTCGTGTACACAAAAATACTAGAGTTTGAACTATAGTAGAAATAATATCCTCAAATCTATGGACACCTCTGAAACTTACTACAACCATTGATTCCTCTATTAATGTATACATCAAATTCATAGGCCCATGCTGCATATAGTTAAAGGAACTTTTCACATACGGAGTGTGACAAGTTCTAAGTAACATTTAATTTTTAGTGTTTTGTTTCATAGTAGTTGGTGGAGACACGTATGCTGCTATCGTATACATTTCAGTTTAATATGATTTAACACTTAGTTGAGGTATATAAAAAAATACATGTAGGGCACTCTTTTGGATAACTCAATGGAAGCACATGACAAAAACATATCCTGTGATAGAAGAAAGTTTTTTGATAACTAAAATACAAACAAATAATGAATCTAAATTCATCTAAAATTATGAATTGTCAAAAGAAGCTGTATAATTGAATTTAAATTTATCTCAGACGGAAATATATAGCCTTATTGTATTTTATTGTATCAATTTGTGTACACTAGACATAAACATATAAACTAGAAACTCTTGGAAAAACTTACCAAATGCAAATCCAAATTGAACTAAGATCACGAGCATATACATTGTACCTTCACTTTCGTCCAGAAAAATAGGTTAAAAATATGTTACACATTAAAATAAACACTTTATATCGTAAAAACTAAACTATCACTCATTTAATAAAAGGTACGAACATAGCACAGAGTAAGTCAGACTCAACCCAAATGAAACTCCTGACGGTTCGATGCAAACTGAAACTGAAGCAACAATACAAAAAGTCACGTGTTCAGTGGAGGGGGTGTTACTTCCCCTACCTCTCCTTCCCCTCCAAAAATGACCATTGTTGTCAAAGACTCCCCTAGCAACCTTGAATTGGTTTCTAGCGAAAGTCTGAATATTTAGTTTGGTAGTAAACTTTATTGAGGAACGTTGGAACAAGGTTTTAGGGTGTTTGTTTTTCTAGTATTTTTTTCGTCAGGGTGACTGCACCCTGAATAGTTAACTTTCGTCAGAACTGGAGTAAAAAATATAGGGAGCCGCACTTTCTGACTTCCTGATGTTTTCGGTAGATGTAAAGTAAAAATCAAATATTTTTTTGCCTCACAACGAATTGATTATAGATTCCTCTGTCCTCTCGACAAGTCAACTTCAGTCTTTTTCTGTTCAAAACACATCTTTGGCCATTTGGTATTTTTAATAAACACGTTTGCTCCATTACATAAAATAAACCTGTTGTTAACACATTTTATAGGCTAACCAAATTTCACATTTGTGAAACGTAAGGAAGTAACATTTCTTTATAAATTGAACATGGCAAATTTTGAACTTGAACGACAACACATTGCTATGTAAAGGAAAAATATCGTGCAGTGCAGGTCCTACTTTGAAAAAGCTACTACAGGTTCAAATGTGATACGAATAAACAAAAAAAAAACTATACAATTTTTAAGTTGGCAAATTTCAAAAAAAGAAAAAATCGCTTTGATCACAAATACGCAGTATACATTCAGTTAGGAATTTGAATAACGATCTTCATCGTATGAATGTTTTGTGAGTCTCACAGTGTTTTTGTCTACGATTTCCTAGCAGTTTCAATGAGATTCCAATTGATCATTGTACAAAGATACCAAATATTTTCTCAGCTATTAGTTTATATTACTATACACGGTACAATAGCTCGGTTGGAAGTACACCTTTTACTATGCCTACATTATAAATGTCTATGCTTCCTACAAAGATCGCTGAAGATTTCAATTAATCATAAACAAACAGATAATTACAACTCCCTTAGACTCTGTACGACGTTGTAATATTTACTTCAGTGGATACGACATAATATCCGGAATTAAAAATATTTTATGAATGCCACATCATATATGTCGAAGCTTCCAAATAATAAAGCTACAACGAAAAACAAATACAGTACGAACATTTATCTTGCCCGATGTATTGTGCAAATACATTTTGTCCTAGAATGCTAGGCACAAGCCTGGGATTGTTTATCACATTACTTCAGGCTAGACATGGGGGTTGCGGCATTATCACATTGATAAAATCCATTGGGGATTTGGTGGGATTTGAATCCGTGATCTCAAGGACCGAAGTCCCGCGCTCTAACCCTTAGACCAGCTCACATTGTATTGTGCAAATACCATTGTCCATTGACCTTCTGAAATATGTTCTGTGAAAGAAATGTTTGTAATATAACCAGCTGGGTATCCAAAGTGGTTCAAAATGTCTGACAGTCAAAATGCGGCTGGTTAATATTGAGCATAGTCATTATTTTTAAGGGTTCCAAAGTCCTAGCTATCCATCAACAATGGACTTTTAATAAGTTGATGACGATAAGAAATAGCTGATTTTTGTCAAAAACTTTTCTGTCCATCCTTTCTTTCAACGTCGTTCACTATCTTCTTTCCCCTGGCACGTGAAATCAAAATTTTACTAAAAAAAAGACACAGCTGATATTAGTAACTAAGCTACACAGACTAACTTGCGTTCTAAGCGTTCACATTTAGCAAATGCCCACCTAGGTGGCGTTACTGTTTATAAAGTAACTCAAATAATAACGCTTTGTTTGTGAATGCAACATTATGTCATTTTTCAAAATCCTCAATGGCTTCACGTAATTGTACAACACAACAAAAATGTTGATAAAAAAATCTGAAGCACACTTGAAAACGATACGCCTTCTCAAGGATGCGGACGGTTTTTACAGGCTAAAGAAACTCTGGAAGCCAAAGGACGAGGGGTGCAAAAAGCAACAAAAGGAAAGTTTGGGCTCGAGCATCTGCCCTTTGTACCTTTGTCGCCGGTTTGACAATAAGATGGGTTGCGGCGAGTTAACACTCCAGCGATTGCATTATCCTCTTCAGATCCTTCAGGGGGAAGACGGAAGATTGATACCAAGTCAATGTCCATGGTACAGATGTCAACGGCGCCAGGTGGTGGGACAATGGAAGGAGACGTTGGACTGGGGTCAAGTACTTAAGTCCTCCAGAAGTATACAACGTTGAAATAGCAAACACAATTTGTAGATAAAACATGCTACGTTTATATCTTAAAATAACTGTTGATCATTGTTTTTAAGAGGTTGATGGTCCCATTAGGTTAGGCCCAATAAATAAAATGACTGAACAGTTTTAAACAAGTTAAAATATTGACTGAAACAAACTTTCTTCGTCACCTAAAATAGTTATGAAACCTTTGATATCCAGCGATGTCTCAATTACTGCTTATAAAGAGCTGTAGACACATTCAGATTATTGAGTAATGTAAGAAAAAATAAATTACCTGATTACAAACAATCCAAAGACAACGCAGTCAGTTTCAGCTCCTACAATAATCACTCAGAACTGGGACGTCAGATTTTAATATACACGAAAATTGTCTAAGTTAATACTGTAATGTTAAAACAATAAACACACGAAAAACGTATGGTTATCAAGTTGATAAATTTTACCGCAAACCCAGGTCTAACTTTAACCTCCGACACGGTTATTTAAACTTTAAATATCTCACACTATACATTATATACCTTTGAAGAAAGTATCTTTTTTGTCAACCTTTTGAATTTTGAGTTTTGATGGAAGTAGGGCCCATCTGTTTTGGGTTTCTCTCGTCCCAAAAAAGTTATGTGTACAGAGCTACAGACTACACCTGTGATTCATTTATACTGTACGTAGTAATAATCCATTACTAATCCTCCGTAATAATCCGTAGGGGTTCTTTTTACTTAGGGTTTCTTAATCTTGATGTTGAAGATTAAGAAACCCTGAATGAAATTTTGAGTACACATTAAAACCCATAACATGATAGAATCATAGGATTTTAACAAAACGGATTAAAATCAGGGCCGCGTTAAGGGTCAGTGGCGCCCTGGGCAAACCCAAAAGCAGCGCCCCCTTATATATATACAGTAACTATAAAGGTTTTTTTTTTACGCTAGTGGCATTTTACGAGAGTTACGAGGGATAAATGTTTTAGTTTGGGGATTGGGGTTAGTGCAATGAACTTGACAGTAGTTGCTATGCGAATGCCTCTTGCCCTGCGCCAATAGCTTATAATGCACTACGCAGTGATTTGATTACTGTTCAGTACAGTACAGTATGCAGTTCATTACACCATCGATCTCTGTAATAATAGAGATCGATGCATTACACACGTATTGAACGATATTCTACGAAGAGAGTATTTTTTTACCATGGTTCCTAATATAGGCCCGTGCATATATATATTTATACATTATAGCGTGTTTTTTTACCAGTTTTGTTTTGGGAGGGAGTTTTCAATTCCGTATCAGTGGAAATACTGGTTAATACATTTCACTTTCTTTAAAACTGCTTCTTGAGTTTGTTTTCTTTGAGCCAACAGCTTGCGGCTCTCGGCTGAACTAGGTTTTTTAATGCATTTTTCACTGTTTATAGGCCTACTTACTTGTATCAACACTTCTCTATTTATTTATTACTGGTTCACTAACTGCAGTGTGAGTGTCAACACTGACTAGTGACTGTAACAGTTTAGCTTGTGTTGTGACTGATTTGACGACTGTGCATCAGGCACAACACGAACACAACCTACCGACTACTGAGGGAGGAGTACTGGTACTACTGTACTGGACTGGCGCCGCGCGGTAGTTGGTAGTTGCAATGAATACACACCACTATAGTGGTTATACTATATACTATAACCACTATATACTAATAGTGGTTTGTATTCATTGGTAGTTGGTAGTTGTGACTTTTGGGGATGGGGGTGGGACTGGAAGGGAGAGGAGGGGCACGTCAACCGTAGGCCTGTAGACTACAGCTGGCCTACGTGCTATTCCCGTAATTTTCTGACGTCACCCATATTGCAAACAAAAAATCAGCTGATGTATTGCCATATAAGTATATATTTGTTTGATTTGATTGTTATTGTTTTTATAATTTTTCTCAATGGTAAAATGGTGTTTGCAATCTGAGTGACGTCAGCATACGACAGGAATAGCACACCTATGTATTTTCCTTCCTCCATGCAGGCCTACCGCCCTGCCTCTGATAGTATAGTGAGTGCGCCCGGTTCACACTGCTACCTGCCTTTCCCTGACTACACGAGGTAGGCCCTATAACCTGAAGGTCGAGTATTTTCAATTTTGTTGTATTTATTTACTTTTGCAATGAGGGAAAATCACTTAACTACAAGTTGAAATTACCCACTTTATTTTTGAAATCCCGGCTGATAAAACCCTATTTTTCCTAGTGCGGGCGGAGGTACAGGGCGCCCCTTGGGCGCCCCCAAACCCCCGGCGCCCCTGGGCATATGCCCAGTCTGCCCGTTTATAAAAGTGGGCCTGATTAAAATACGATTAAAACTTAGTACATTATAGCCCTTTTAACTGTAAACGAAATGGTACAACCTCAATGCTGTAAGAAAAGGAAAAAAATTATTGAAATTTTTTCCCACACATAAAGAATCATAAATACTCCTACCACTTTCCATGATAAGTATTGTTGTCAAGATGATGGGAGAAACTATGTGTCAGATTGCTAATAGTTATTTTTATTAACGAGTTTTAAGAAAATGCGGAAATCTTCTGCATTTTACTACCTGACACGATAGTTATTGCAATAAGTTGCTGTAAACTGTCAAATCATGTCCAGACTGAGTCTTCATGAGAATGTACTGTCAATGCAGCAGTAGGCATTTCCTGTCTGATAAAACATGAAGCTGGCTGGCGCCTAACGAGTGATATACAGAGAGTGAGGTAAACAGAGGAGGCTACATACCAACGACCATCTGGAGTTAATGATAAGCAACATTCTACACATTGTTACCAATTCGTTTCCATGGTTGCCATAACTTGCTGCTGGAAATATTGGGACTTTGTTCATGTAAAAACTAATAATTATGCAAAATTAAAGTCTCTAATGGTATTCAATCGAGGAAATTTCTCCCCAATTGCTACGTACACCTTCTTTTTCGATATTTCTTTTTCCACGTATAGAAAAATATGGCGATTTTCCAGCAGGAAACATATAAAAAAAACTAGAATACAATTAGAACCTCAATTACTCGAAACTCAATATCTCGATTTTTTTTTTAATCCCCTTGAAATTTACATTAATCATAATGTTAAAAGTACCTTTATAAGTCGAAGTTTCTAAATATTTAACCTCAATAAGTCGAATTTTAACAACTATTGAACAGTAACATTCTACCTCTATAACTCGAATTTTTCCGTCATCGAGCCTCAGTAACTCGAAGTTTACCTTTATAAGTCGAAGTTCGCATGAATGTGCCTCAATAATTCGATGTTTTGCCTTAACAGTGCAAGTCAGTTGTGTCTTGATTCCTGTCGAGGTCGAGACGTGAAAATCGAACTTCCTGTGTTTGCTTCCCGTGTCTGTTTGGCTAGGCACTGATGTAGTCAGTGTAGTTTGCCCGTTTTGCCAAAGTAGATTCAGTAATTAACTACATTACGATGCATTTTGTTTAGTATTTCAATCACACTAGAATTTTACCTTTAAATATTACTCTCTACAGTCTAAATACTTTTTGTATGTACAGAATTGTACCTTTTCAGTATTTTTGTTGTTACAGTAGCTTGTTTTTACAGTACATATAAAGAGTTTGACTAACGTTTGCTTTAAACAAACATTATACACAGTAAATGTAGTTCCGTGTATGGATGATATATACTGTATTATTGTTTTGTACAGTATTTAAACTATTTTTTTTGTCAATTAATATGTTTTTATGTACTTTATCAAACTTATTGCCAAATAATAAATACAGTACTTTATGTGCATTCAAATAGTTTTATTTTGCTTCCAAAGTTACTCCTCAGTACGTATAAATACAGTTAGAGTTCGATTATAAAGGTTTAACACGTATAAGTCGAGTTATAAAGGCCGTGACGTAACATCACTGTCAGACCCCAAAACCTCAGTATCTCAAACTTTTTAAAACGGAACCTTCATAACTCGAACCTCACTAACATGAAAAACTTGATAGCTCGAATTTTTATCATAACCCCTTCAGATTCGAGATATTGAGGTCCTACTGTAGTACTAACTAACAAACTGTACCTCTGTCCGTGCTTCCCCACGGACCAAAAACACATAAAATAAGATGGTAGTTCTTTAAAGCTATTAACAATAAACGAGTTTTACCACCGAGACACCCCATCTACAAGGACCAGCTGAAGCTAATCTTTTATTTAAACTAACTCGATTGAGCCAATCATATAGTGGATTCGATATGTCCTTAAAACTTCGCGGATATAGGTTAGATTACGCAAAAGATGGTATACTACAGTCGATTACATGACCTTTACATTGGCTTGGTTGAATCTTTTGTGAGTCCAAAATAAATCAGAATTTTATACCAGCACATTCAACTGCGTACGTTTCTATTAAAACTTCAAGAGAGAATTGAATGTCTAGTTAAATATCCATAATATCAATAGAAACCATAATCAATGGATAGAGACAAAGAATTACACACCGTCAGCCGTGCTGCGGTTACCATAGATCCTGGCGCACACCGCTGGGAGCGTGGTGTTACGTCGTATGCGCTACGTAACTACACGGCGCTCCCAGTGGTGTGCACCAGAACCTTTGGTAACAGCAGCACGGCTGACAGTCTATATTTAATTATTTTTGTCTATGGTCAAAGGTTGTATGTACCATTGATTTCTTATCCTCATAGAACAGCCGAAGCCAATTTTATTGTTAGTTTTAACCGGTGTACTAGAGGTCGTGTTTTGTTTACAATTTGTTTCTTGTCATTCTAGTAATTTCAAACCACGTATAACCAGATAAAGCGATCTAATTTCAAACAATAACTTGTCCCTTTATAACCAAACCCCTAAATTAATAGAAAAAAATTCGTCCACACTACTGTTTAGTGTTGACCTATGAGAACTAGACACAAAAAAC